AGTGGTCAAATTCTAGTTTCTTTTGCTAAAACTTTTGAACATACCTAAGCCACATATCATAGCCTCTATGAGAGAGAATATTTAACATATTGAATTAATGCACTATATGGCACTTTTATTTGGCTATGTAAGTTTGATGACACTGTGTACTGTAAAGCACAAGCTATGCTTTAATAATCTCGCAGTTTGTATGTGTTAAAAAAAAAATAATATATATATATATATATATATATATATATATGGTTAGTGAAGTAAATACATTTTTCAGTCATTGACACAAGGCCAGTGATATGAGAGCCATGATATTTTCTGAACACTGTTGTCTGTTGATTGAAGAGGGATTTTTATGTGCACAAATATTCTCATAATGAACAACAAATTGTTAAAACAACATGAATTATTGCAGCATTAGTTATTGTAACAGGAGCTAGCATCATAGATCAGCTGACGTTCTGTGTATCCAGAATATGAGGTGTTATTTCTTTAACACACACAGACGTTGTTGGCGTTGGTGGTTTACAAGGATTCTTTTTAAGTGTAATGCATTATATACGGTAAAAAAACAAACAAAACATATATTATATGGGCTCACCCTACCCCTACCCCTACACCCAGCCCTCACAGGAAACCTGAATGTGTAAAGACCCCATTAAGTATAATTTTTAATTGTTTTGAATCACTAGAACACGACATATCATTGTAAATCACAGCAAAACATACAGATTTATTTTAGAATTTATCCAGACTGACATTGTCTTAGAGGCACTTTAATAAACAAAGCATTCTAACATGTATGTTTTGCACACTGCATATGTTTTTAGTTCATTGTAACTTAAACTAAGTTAATCATGTTCTAACCTAATATTTTAAGTGTTGCAAGCTGTTTAAACTCAGTTTAACATGATATAAGTTCAATGGACTCATAAGGTTCATTTGATTCAGCTTAAAAAATTTAAGGCAACCAGAATTTTTTTACAGTGAATAAACCCTGCATGATTTTAAACATCTGATGAATGTTGGTGTAAAACATTGAAAAGAGTATTTGTTGTGCTTGTTTATTTAAGTATTTTTATTTCAATAAAAAAACTATACAACATTACAATTCAAATTTATTTAAAATAATGATAAATAAACTAATCAAAACAAAATCTTACAGTATAATTATCGTGAATTATCAGTATAAGATTAAAAATCCTGATTGTACAGTAGCATCTCTAGTAATAGAGTTCATCATAGAGTTTAGTTTTCAAAATGGGGACTTTGAGAATAATTCAAAAATATTTAAAAGACAAAATTTACATTAAAAAAAGAAATTTTGTCTTAAAAAAATAATCGTTTTTTTTTATTATCAGAATAGTTTTCCTTGATGTGAGCAAAATGCCAAGAAAACCACAGCTACTATGAAGCACAGAAGAATTCATAAAGCGGGAAAATTTTCACAAACTAATTTTAGACAGGAGCAAGTGATTGATCGCGGCTGGTCTCTCATCTGCAATTATTAATAAGCCAATCGGATTAATCCAAACTCACTCTAAATAGCCAGTCTAGTATTATTCCCTTTATCTTCATTTTTTTGAAAAATCTAGAGCCCAGCATTTAAGCCCGAGCCTGACGGGGCCTGACTTTTTATGACCCTAGAGCTGGACTTGGAGCCAATTTTTCCGTCATAGCTTGCACACATATAGGGCTTCAGGCCTGCATCAGAAAAAAACCTTTAAAAAAAAATAAATAAATAAGTTTTAAAAGTTTATTTTACTAATGCGTGTGGTCCGGAAGCAGCAGTGATGTCTCGCGCATAGGGTCCAAGTACCATGGAGAACATAAAGAGAACAACTGCCAATGGCAAACTTAAAACTGTGAAAAACATTTGAGGAAAGGCTGGCCAATTCTGGTCAACTTTTCAAATAGTGACAACTTTAAATGAGCCAACTGGTTTTGAACAATGTACAACTTGCAAGTCCTGGGGCGCCAGCAGGATTTTATTCCAATTATGCACAAATCCTGCACCGCCCGCCCCGTCTCATCATCACTTATTCTTATTTCAATCTCAAGAAACACTGATGCTTGCTGTCAAAGGCTACGTTATTTAAGGGCATTCAAGGGCATTTAACTACAACATAATTTGTTTTCTTTTTAATATTAATATATTTTCTTTGAAATCTAAATGTGGCGAGGCAGTGGCGCAGTAGGTAGTGCTGTCGCCTCACAGCAAGGTCGCTGGGTCGCTGGTTCGAACCTCGGCTTAGTTGGCATTTCTGTGTGGAGTTTGCATGTTCTCCCTGCCTTCACGTGGGATTCCTCCGGGTGCTCCGGTTTCTCCCACAGTCTAAAGACATGCGTACAGGTGAATTGGGTAGGCTAAATTGTCCATAGTGTAGGAGTGTGTGTGTGAATGTGGATGTTTCCCAGAGATGGGTTGTGGCCGGAAGGGCATCGGCTGCGTAAAAACTTGCTAAATAAGTTGGCGGTTTATTCCGCTGTGGTGACCCTGGATTAATAAAGTGATTAAGCCGACAAGAAAATGAATGAATCTAAATGTAATAAAAGCACATCAGCACAAAGGAAAAATCACTCAAGACCTAATTTTTAAAATTATGACATATTAAAACATTTGCAAATATATGACAATCTATTTGAGGTGAAGTGCTTCAAGTCTGCTTTATGCTTCAACAATGCCAAAACACAAACTGGATTGAGAAATAAAATAATAATATAGCCTAAATAAAATTTAAATAATTTAAATCACCTTCAATGGTAGCGGTTCCATGCGAGGATGCTGCGCAGCTGGCAGCTGGATCTGAGTAGTCCGATGAAAGAGACACGGGCTGGGGATGGAGTTTCCCTGCCTCAGCTGATGAAACTGTGGTCTCCGCCCCATGTGAGGGATTATTATTTGTCTTATTAGTTTTAGGCCTTTTGGCCAACTCTCAAATAAGTTTAGCTGTTAGGGAGTTTACTCATTTTGAACCATGTTTTAAACAATAACTATCTGGATTGTAAGTTTTAGTGTGCAGAAAAACTGCCAGCAAAACTAAAGCCCATACATTTCTTTACCCATTTCCAACCATGCAAGTACATACACATTTTAAAACACACAAATGCACACCTTTATTTATTATCATTCTTGCTTTGTCAATATCATGTGGTGTATACTATTTAATAATAAAAAAAATAAATAAAAATAAATATAAAAGCTGCATTAGTTCCCAACATCTCATGGTAGGTGTGCACAGTGCATACAGCTGTACTGCTGCAGGTGCTACTGGGTTAAATTGAGTAAACTTACTGTGGACAACGCTTAAATGTCGATGTCACTTAAACTAAATTTTACATAAAAAAAAAAAAAAAACGTATTCTGATAAAAAAAATTAAACGAAAAGAAAAACATCAACTTTATATTAAATCCAAATCTGGGCTATTTTTTAATGGCTGTAACAGTATAAACTGGCTTTGGGTTGGACTCGGGCCAAAAATTTTGATGAGCTGTTGGCCAAGGGCCGGGCTATAGCCTGTGCGTCTCGGGCCAGGCCCGGGCTAGAGCTTAGATTTAAGGCCCGTGCAGGGCTCTACCCCATCCACCCCATCTCCCCTTTTTCCTCCTTTACCAGTGGGAGGTCTCAAGAACTAACTGATTTTGGACCCCCTTACATGCTCATCGACCTGGTGGGAGCCCTGGGTTGAATTATCTCTGAGCTCATGGTTCTTTCCTTGGACAGCATGCCAAGCCTGCTAATATTATTAAGCAATATCTAAGTGTGAACTCTTGAAATAAAATAAACAACCATTTTAGAAAAAAAAAAATGTTACAAAACACATCTGAGAACATGCAACAATAAGTTGTTCAGTCCTGGCCTTTTTTCCTGGAAACACAGTTCAACCTTTCAGTGAAAATGGACCATCATTCAAAACCTTAATGCATGTCAATGTGTGTTTCATTTAGCTTATTTATTACAGGAATATCTACAAATATGATGCTTTTGATGTTTTAGTCAAACCAGACTTTGAAGATGATCTTTAATTGTGTCAATAGACAAACTCAGACAAACTCACAACTTTATTATGTCTTACAACGTTTTGTACACTAAAAATGTCTGGCTTGATTTAACCAAACTTTGGGTAAAATATGAACAAACCCAAATGTTCAGTTAATAAATAAAATGTGAATCAACTCAGCTTTTTCAGTGTATGCATGTTTTGTAAATTTGTGCATTTCTACAGGCCAATTCTCCTGGCGTTCTGCTTGATTTCATTTATGAGCACTGAGCACTGAAGGAGACATCATTATTTTCGGCAGACCTGCTTTTCCTCTGAATTTATAAAATATCTGTAATGCACTCGAAGCGTTTGATTAAGACATAAAACAGATCGAATTTGAACCGGGGATGGTTTTCCCTGCAATCTCCCTCACTTCTAGCATCAGAATTCAGCTCTTTTTCTCAGAATTACAGCCGCTTCAGCTGCCAGTGCAAATATGGAGGTTTTGTATTCATAGTTTGCAAACAGAGCAAAATGAATTCCCTCAATGTGAGTAATGCTATGTAAATTAGAGATATTTCAGTGTTCGCTTAAAGAACTACTGTAGGCATCCTGCATACTGTATTGTAATATATTGTATGATTTAGTTTTTCTTCATTTTGTGCTTGATGAATAGGACTTCATAATCCATTATGATTCATTTATACTGTAATTTTTAAACTCAACACATTTATTTTCCTTCACCACTGCTCGTTTTAGATGATGTTATATTCATGTTTTCATGCAAATCAGTGTGCAAGTCAGTTCAACTCAAGTCTCAGTCATTTCCAGTGTGTGTCTTGAGATATTAGAGTTTTTTTTTTATTCCTTTAAAAACTAAAAATGTGACTAGATATGAGGATGAGCTGAATTTCTGTTTTTTTTTTTTTTTTTTTTTTTTTTTTGCATCTATAATCTTTTCTACTAAGTTCTGGAATGATGCTTCTTACTTTGTATTTATGATTTTTCTTTTTCTTTTTCCACAGGTGATCCCAAATCAGGTAAGAATCCTTAATCTTGTCTCTTTCAGTTTTCATAATTCATTCTCAACCTTTGTTCCCTGAGAACTCAGGGTTTGCTGAAAGTTGCTTGATGCTCATGTATTCTATCTTCATAGTCACTGATGTTTGCTTGATACAACAATTTTGGATTTTCAATCATACCAGAATCTAATAAGTCAGTATTGATGTTGAATTAATATCGTTTGTGAGAAATAACCAACCTCAAAATATAACTGAATTAAAAAAAAAAAAAAGGGTTTTATTAAAAACACAGAATGACACTCAGGTATAAACAAATTTGAGCATATCACTTCTCAGTGCTTTATAAAATAAACTATTTTGTATATATCATATGATAAGACACAAGTTATACTTAAATTATTCAAAATGCTCAATTGTTATTTATTTAGTTATTTGTTTGATCATAACATTTTACAGTTAAAATATTTTTTAAAAAATGTTTAAAAATACCTTTTGCTTATACCTATACAATGATATTTTAGAAAGGAATATTATTTATTTATTTATTTATTTATTTATTTATTTATTTATTTATTTTATTGATTTATTTACTGCAGACCGAGTGGTGTCCAATTGGAATTTGTTAATAATAATAATAATAATAATAATTTTTTATTATTTATTTATTTATTTATTTATTTATTTATTTATTTATTTATTTATTTATTTATTTATTTAGTCTTCGTTTATTTGCTCGTACAATTTTACGATTAAAATATTTTTTTTATAAAATTGTACCTATTGCTTATACCTATGCTATGATAATTTAAAAATAAAATGGTTATTATTATTATTATTATTATTATTAATATAATAATATTATTAATAATAATAATAATAATAATAATAATAATAATAATAATGTGAGAGGTGCATTCTGACGTACAAAGCAATATATCAATATTTCAATCACATTTTAAAATGATTCTACATTTTTCTTTTGACTGGCTCTTGTTACTTGTTTATTTCTGTAATTTGACAACTTATAATATTCCATGTTATGCTGTAATGCATGTAATGCTTTCAAGACTTGTTTGTGTGATTCCACTAAAGGTTTTCAGCATCACGGATGGTTCAACTTTTTAATGCATTCTTTAATCCATTTAGGGTGTGCAGAGTGAGAAATAGATCTTTCTGATGCATCATGTTGTTGGTTTCACATCAGTTTGGGTTATATACAGTACACTCCAGCATAGTGGTGAACTTCACATCCTCTTAAGCACAGAAATGAGCAAAATCGTCTAACTGTGCATTTGAAAAAACAACAACAATTACCAGTATTATGGCACAATACCGTGTTCAGCATGGATCCATTCAAGCTTCACAAGACATTTTGCTTTGAGATGGTAACAAACATGTGGCTCGCCATTAACATTTAGACCCACTTTTTGTCTTTTCTTTAAATCCGCAGCATTTTTTTTTCTAGAAACAGAAGAACCGCTTGGTCGCTCATATGAATTGAATGGTAATGTCCTGAACACAGCTTGCCTTTATCTGTCTATTACATCCGAACAGACAGCTCCAGCTTTGAAGTGCTCGGAAAGCTTTTAGAAAATTCAACGCTCCTACATATGTTTCCATTTAGACAACGAAACACACCCAAAAAGCTGTATTTGAGGTGATTTTTCACATCCTCACTGATATCCCAGGCAAAATACATTCCAGCGCATTTCGTCACGCTGTATTTCGTGAGCTTAGTCACATTGGTGCGTTTAATTACAAAACTGTATCACACATCTGAACTGAGCGAATCCTTCCCGCCAGGTGACTCAAGATGAAAGACCAAGCACTTTATAAAATAACACTTTCAGTGATTTGACAGACATTTTCAAGGGATGCATTAGCCATTAGCTACAGCAGTTAAACACACACTTTCTACCTCCTCTACGGTATTAATGCCAGATTTGCAAGTGAATCCTGTAGTTCAGCATCTTGATCAGCTGTGTTTGAGTTTTTGAGTAATATATACACATGGGTTACATGTGTACAATTGGTTTTTAAAATATGTTGTTTGTGTGTGTGTGTGTGTGTGTGTGTGCATGTGTGCATATTATTATAATGCCATTTCCATGCTTAATGCTGTTTTAGTAGTAGTGGAAATAATTGTTTTTTTTTGTTTTTTTTTTGTTATTTTTTGTTACTGTTATTACTCTTATTATTTATTCATTCATTCATTCATTTTCTTTTCGGCTTAGTCTCTTTATTAATCCGGGGTCAACACAGAGGAATGAACCGCCAACTTATCCAGCACTTTTAACATCCACACACACTCATTCACACTCATACACTATGGACAATTTAGCCTACCCAATTCACCTGTACCGCATGTTTTTGGACTGTAGGGAAAACGGAGCACCCGGAGGAAACCCACGAGAACACAGGGAGAACATGCAAACTCCACACTGAAACGCCAACTGACCCAGCCGAGGCTCGAACCAGCAACCTTCTTGCGACAGCACTACCTAGCACTATCTACTATCTTTATTATTAGTTGGAATAGTAGTAGTAGTTTAGTATAAGTAGCAGTAAGAGTAGTGTAGTAACATGAGGATTAATGTAGAGGTGTGCATTCCCATGAGAGCTGACCAGATTTCTTGTGACACGGGAATAAATTTCCACATAAAATTCGGTAGCGGTCAGTAACTGGTGTAATTTGAATGGGACCAAGCGGGCTAACAATATAGTGTTCCCAAGTCCCGATATTATTTTGGAATAGCATATCTGATTTCCTCATACTTATTGATCACCGGGACAGCCAGTGCTCACAACAGTTAAACATGCTGAACACATGACCAGTGCTTTCTGGTCATGCTTTTTTTTTTTTTGCATAATGATCCTCAGAGCGGACTTTGCCAACAGGAGAGAGCAAAGTGAAGATGGGCTGTCCTTCAGCTTGCATTAGAAAAAAGCAAGAACTTTTTCTAAAAGCATTACTGTTAGGAAACTCACATCAGGCAGGTCTGATGTATGGGAGTCTTTTTCATATGTCATAGACACAAATGGAAATAAAAATATCCTTTGCGTGATGTGATAATACCTTAAAGTTTAACTCTTTAGCAGAAGACTTGAACCTCAGGTTTAAGGCAGCACTCATGTCTCATCACAAAGGGGTAAACAAAATTGACATTTAGCCTACAATCCTTGCTCAATCTTACAGTTGTATCTGTTATCTCTCTCTTTTGGTAGTACCAAATTTGAACCTGAGATTTTGGAAACCAGATCTAAATTTAGTGTGAACGGTCGGGTAGAAAATAATTCTAAGTTGGCAGTGGGTGAACAAAGGCTGAGTATACAGCGGGATCAGTCGGGTGCGGAATAAAACCTTGTGGGAGCTGGACTAAAAAGTTAGTCCTGAGCAGACCTCTAGATTAATGAATGTATGTATGTCCTTACATATATGTCATAAGTAGGGACAGAGCACTTCTTCTCCTCTGGAGTGAATCGCGATTTTGAGGGTCTAAACATGCCTGAAACTTTGCACATGCCTCAGAAGTGTCGAAAATTTACGTTCGTTACATGTTTTGGAAATGGGTGTGGCAAAATGACTCGACATCGCCACCTATGCACATTTGACAGACTGACACCCGAGCTACGATTCACACACACACACACACGAAAATTTGCACACGTCAAGCATTCCAATACCTACAAAAATGTTTTTTGGAACGAAATCTTAAATCAAACAGGTGCCATGTTTGCCATTTTTGCCATTATTTGGTAAACAAAGCAAGTCTCTCATATAATATATCAACTAAAAGACAGTAAATATTACTTTACAAACTGTATTGTAAACAAATCAAATAAACATTTTCATATAAGTCAATAATATTACTGCAATTAATTTAAAAACTGAATAAATATAAATTTAAACACATATACACAGGTTAATAAATAGACTTAATGATTGGCTAAAAATCTGCAGAATTTAGCAAATTTCTGTGCGCAGGTTCCATGTGGGCCTAGTTATAATCAGTAAATCTAATGAGCACTTAAACGAATAATTCACTTTAACAATGAATAAAGGGCTATACTATATGTAGATGAGTTTTAAATTTGGTGAATGAGCAAACAGTGCAAAAAAAAAAAAACACAAATGGCAATATTAGAATAAACTATTGTACATTACACAGTTTCAAGCTGTCAAACAGCAAAATAGCAAACTTGTTACGGAAGATCTCTTTACACAATGCATCCTCCAGCCTGGAGTGAAGGCAGTGAGTACAATAACAACAATTTGGGGCAAGTCTGTAATTTTATGGAAAAATATGCGAGTGGCGCGGCAGGATTTTGAGCAGTTTCCGGAGTGGCAGCTGTTTTTTTCTGCTGGTATGTGTTCACCCATAAAACAATGTGCTTCGACTTCACAACACATCCATTTTGTGTGCCAGATATCATTTATTAATTGGAAAATATCAGATTTTATTGTGTAGCTACATATTTGGTGTTAAAGTAACATTAGGTTGTTCTCTGTTATGTTCAGTTTGCTGAGGGAGCTTTCAAAGCAAGCACTTCTCTGTTGTCATGTTTAGCCATCTTAAAAAAAAAATTGCTTAGGTAAGGCCGATGGTTAAGATGTTTCTTATCATGCTCTTAAAGAAATCCCTTGCCTCAGGGCTTTTTTACCCCTTCATAGAGACGCTGAAGTCAAACCACTTAAGAGTTTTTTATACACCCAGATCCTGATTCATAAAAAAAAAAAAAAAAAAAAAACATTAATCAATCAATTGTTTCTATCTGTCAGCACATTGCATTAAAAATCATACATTCGTTAGCTGAACATATCAAGGGGGATGAGGGGTGGTGGGGTCTTAGAAGTAGTAATTGGAATTTAAACTATGGCTTTGATTACCTCTGATTATTCTATTTTATAGGTTGCTAATTCAGTTTTGGAGGTGTCCTGCAATTTTACATGCATCATTTACATGCATCTAAGAATAGCAAAGAGAGGGGAGGAGGGGGAGATGAACTTTAAAAAGTTC